ATGAGGGTATGAGGGTATGAGGGTATGAGGGTATGAGGGTATGAGGGTATGAGGGTATGAGGGTATGAGGGTATGAGGGTATGAGGGTATGAGGGCATGAGGGCATGGGGGCGTGGGGGAATGAGGGAATGAGGGTATCAGGGCATTGAAAGAGTAAGTCCTGTATGTCTATCTTACACCCGCGTGTCGAGTTTTGATTGGTCTGACTGGCTGAATTGAGTTGAGTTGAATTGAATTGGATTGAATTGGACTAATTGGATTGAGTTGAACTGGATTGAGTTGAACTGGATTGAGTTGAACTGAACTGAACTGGCTGGCTGATTAAACTGACTGGCTGGCTGGCTAGGCTGAACTGGCTGAATTGACTGACTGGATTGGATTACTGGCTGACTGCTTGATTTAACCTGAACCAACGGACTAAATTGACTAAACTGGCTGAATGACGGACTGAATTAGGCTGACTGATTGAACTGGACTGACTGAACTGGACTGACTGAACTGACTGGATGGCTGGACTGAACTGAACTAAACTAAACTGACTGAATTGGCTGGCTGGTTAACTGGCTGGCTGACTGACGGAGTTGGATTGGGTGTATTAAGCTGGCTGGCTGGCTGAGTTGGGTGTAATGAGTAAACTGGATTGAACCGAACCGAACTGAACTGAACTGAACTGAACTGAACTGAATGAACTGAATGAACTGAATGAACTGAATGAACTGAATGAACTGAATGAACTGAATGAACTGAATGAACTGAATGAACTGAATGAATTGAGATATTGCGGTGATTTAGGGATTGACTGGAGTGGTGCCATCGTTACTGACTGAAGAGAGTATTGGGGATATGAGAAATCGGCCTGGTTGGGATTCTGTTGCAGTGAATTCCAGTATGTCGGTTGGCCGTATAGAGGTGTTAGATGCAGACTGCCGTAGTAATCCGGAGAGCCACCAGCAGATATACTAGGTAAGTGTGGACTGTGGTGTGTAGGGGCAGTTCCGTACATGGTGTCGGAATGTGACGAAGCGCTGGATGGTTGTGGAAACAGTTGGCTCATAATGTCATTAACGCCCAGCACAGAGCGGTCGGTGTCTTCGGTGACGTAGTCAGTCATTGGGTTTTTCTAAAGCTTTCTGTTCTCGAGGCTAGACTTTTGCAATATGGATCAGTCTTTTACAAGGCCAAGAATGATTAGGCGCGATTAATGTCGGCCGCGTATGAGAAAACTGGGCGTAGGAAGCGGCGTAGGAGGGTGTTGACGTGTGATCGTTGAGGGTTTAAAGAAGATGTGTATCTTGCGAATGTCCAGCACCAGAAAGCGACTGAAGGGAGGTGTGACAATGCCGTAGAGTTAGCCACCGTGCAAGGCCTTATCTAGGGGTGTCTATGCTAAAACCAGTGTCGAGGGCTGATAAGTTTCACTGCTTCAAAGAATTGTAAAGATCTTCTCAGCATAGGGTCTAGGTTTTACGATAGGCTGCTTCTGAGCGGAAGTCGCTAGGCTGGCGATGCTTATGTATCAATGCGTCTGGGATAACGTAGGTAGCAATATTATATGAGTCTACGTTCTCAAACTTTCAAGCGCCCAAGCCCCTCGTGATCCGCACCATACGCCAAAACGATCGGGATGTCAGAACTATCGACGACAACGGCATCAAGATATCTCAGCAAACGGGCTTAAGCTACCGAGAGTGTCACGATCGCTTCCATATTCGACTTGTCAAGAATCTCCGTGGAGACTCCAGTCAGATACCTTTACAGCGGCCATAAGATCTTCGAATGGAGCAATGACGGAGAAACTCGGCACAACGGGTTGAAGACTAGGAACGAGAAAGAATGGAGAGCCGGATATCACATTCGTTTCATTGACCGCATACATTCATTTGCTAGCTGAAATACGCGCAACTTCCTTGCATTACCTGCCGAAATCAGTGACTTGTGTGCAAGACCCAGGCATGAGCGTAAAATCCATCTTGCAGCATCCCGTCAGGAGTGAGCTCTTCTTTGTTCAGTGTCGACGACGTGCATATAAGCGGGTGAAGCAGCCGAAGTCGATCTAGGGCTAGATTTGCAAGTCTCCCAATGGCACCGAAGTCCTTCCCCTGTAGACAAGACTAGAGACCGAATTCAGCAGAAGGACAAAGGAATGCATTGATAGCGCGATTGGTAGAGGCAATGCTTGAACGTACTCTCAAGCTTCAAAGCTCAGTTGCTTGCCACCACGTAGATCTTTGTTGACCCTCTGAAGGGCTTGTTCAGCATCTTGTGACAGGGATATTCTGGACTTGCCCAACCATCGGAGATATATTTTGCGGAGAAGGGGAATATCCTCACGCTTGAAGGTAATTCCATGAACCATTTCTTGCCACGATGCCCACAAGTTGGTTTGGTCAACTGCGTTAAACCTACCGTCGCCGTGTTTCAACCGAATGCCTACAACTGAAGAAAGCTCCTCGAAGCACTCATTAATCATTTTGGGCTTGCGATCGGGTGGCGAATGCAACATCCGTAAAGATTCTGCGCTAATCCCCACCGCTGTGTTATGTATGGTATCGTTTTGAGATTCAGGGGGGGCCATGGAGTTTTGGCTTTCGAGAAGAATTCGGGCTCTTTCATAGGCGTCTTCTTCATGCGGGATAGGATCCTTTCCGAAATGAAGGTAGTGCCGAAAGACGGAAGGACATAATGAGGAGACACTAGCTAGAATTAATCCCTTCTAGGAGATTAGCAAATTTTATGGCACTCATAAGGCTCCTCACAGCTTGAATGTTGAACACAGCGAGTATCAGTGCGACTACAGACACCCCAATGTATACGAAGCATCTAATGAGCATTATGTTGTAAGGTGGCGTGTGGAGCGTGTGGATGCCCGACCTCTGAGACCAAGACAACCAACACCAGAAGGCAGCAAAGCTGTAGAATGCTGTCTGCCAAATGCAGCAGGAGCGGGCCCACTCATACGACAGTACTTTTAGTAGTACCATGATCCTGAGGTATTAAACGATGTAATAACCACTATAAAAGAAAAACTTACGAGGCAACACACACTCCAACGTTAGATACTATACAAATAGGAAACGTCATGTGGAAGTAATCGGGGCTAAACATCAAAAATAGCCAGAAAAACTACGAAATTGTTAAAGTCTATTCTCATGGAGTACGAATGAATAAGTAGACTTACATCGTATAGATGTAGGAATACACTGCTGAGAGATAATAGTGCCTGGCTAAATTCTGCCTCATGATTCGAGGAGAGTTCTATAATGATACAGATGACGCTGGCAGAACTTAAGAATAAGGGACCGTAACTTTTCCACTGGGACGTTAGTGCCGTAAGGCTGTTGTAGACGACGAACAGACAGAACGGAAAACAGACAAGGGCGAACGTATGTAGCAGTCCCGGAGAAGGGATAGGTTTGGCTGTGTCAAACATATCGAGTGGTGGAGAAGGCAACCAAATGACGGTGTGTTGACCGGTCAGAGACATACGGAGTTATATATTTCGGGGCAAGTCCTTACCTCGACTCCAGATTGTGTCAGTCGAACGGTCACGCATCCTGATCCACATTCCACACCTTTT